GTATGTGTTAATAAATAAAATATGCAATAATATGTGTTTAAAATTCTGGTAAAAATTATGTTTAAATTTTTTAAATTTTAGGTAAATTATTAAAGGTAAACTAATATAAAATGTCTAAATAAATCTATTTTTTGTTGTATATACGTGTATTCACAATATTATACGTTATAGTTATATTTTCTATATTTTATTCAACCCATTGCTTAAAGAATCAAAAAAAAAAGGAAAGAAAAAAAATGTTCGAAAATAAAATATTTCCGTCATGAATTAAAAAAAAAACCACATTTTTTTTTTTCTTATGACTATAAAATCCTCTACGCAACAATAAATATCTCTATATTTGGAATCAATCTTCAAACATGTCAATCATATCAATTCTTGCTCGCTTAGCGTGAGGAGAATCTCTTTCTATGTCCGAAACACCAGGAGTTGACATTATCGAGCCATTGATATTATTATCAAGTGAAGATGACGATGAGCTCATGCTCATGTTTGAAGAATTCGCTGCCGATAAAACCGCTTGCTCTTGCTGTTGCAGTTTCTGTTGTTGTTGCAGTTGTTGTTTTTGTTTCATTTGTTGTTGTTCGGCTTGTTGCATAGCAGATAAAGCACGCTTCCTCGTTATCTTTGCAAAATCTTTAAAAAGAGGATGGAATAAATGATTAGATTTTAGGGGAAGAAAAGAATAGAAAGGGGTGTAATATATGATGATACTTACGAAGACCACAAGCGTTACATAGCGTTCTTGCACCATCGGGGCCACGACGCCACTCAGGAGTTTCAGATATATTACAGGAATGACATCTTCCAGGAGGCGCTGCACGCTTCTGGTTAAGAAGGAATCAATGCGATTAATAACTTGATTCATCTCCGAGACGAACCGAGAGTTACTTTAGTTAATTTAGTTAATTATGATTACTTACACTTCGTTTCCTGTATTTTGTCCGTGTAGATGTGGAAATACTCGTTCTCTGCTTACGAATCAAATCAATTTCATCTTGACTTGTCTAAATAAGAATAACGTTTAGTCACTTGACACCACCGAAATAAAGGGTCATCTCTAAAAAAGATGCTTACCTCGGCATGAAATCTTGCAGATACTTCACTCTTTAGACCAGATAAGACATTTAATACATCATAAGCCTTATTTATCATATCTGTCAGATGGGACTCGTTCAGTTGAAGAACGATACCATTCCAAGGATTATGATTAATTTTCATGTCACGATATTGCGAAGCAAATTGAGCGATTTGGTTACAATTGTCTATAACCTTCCCTATTTTAACAAGGGATTGTTCTGTGGTTTGTTGGATATAAGGTGAATCTTCATCTCTGGGGATATTATTCCCCGTAGATGTATATGAAGTAGAAGTAGCATATGGAGGGGGATAATCTGAAGTTGAGGAAGTGGTAACGGACGAATGAGAATAATTACTAGTGAATCGTTGCTGTTGTGATTGTGAAGCGTATTGATACTGTGTCGGTGGAGAATGTTGATGTTGATAGTATGATGAAGAAGGAGGAGGTGGTGGTTGTTGTGGTTGTTGTTGTCTTGACCACATTGAGCTAGTAGTGTCACAACGTGGTGGCGGTAATGAATATGAAGGGGAAGAACTGAAACTCGACCTACGCGCCAGGATTGGTTGTGGTGGTTTTTGATAATTTAATTGCGAAGGAGGGCTTGGCGGAGTAGACGATCGTTGTTGATATGAAGAATTTTGAAGGTTGACAATGGAAGCAGACGATGTATTATGAAGCGGTTTTGGCATTATTGCTGGCGGATTAGAACTAATCTCATGCAGGGAAGGTACAGGAGACCGTAAAATAGAAGTTAAGGAAGGGAGTGGGTGTCCCTTTTTCTCATTCGCCATTTCAACCAACCTAAAGTATCAAAAAGGAGGGGGAGGTGAATTTTTTTTGTAATTAATTTTCTTTCATTTTTGCATTTTTTTTTTTTTTTTTAATTAAAAACAGTTATCTATGCGCATTCCATACATACGGTGGAGAAGGCAAACTTTGAGCATGAGATGTTGAAGGAGCAAATACCGAAGTTTTCCTCGGGATAGATTGGTTTGGAGACGACGAACACATTGAAAGAACGTCCATTTTTTTTTTTTTTCAAGTTGACTTTTTTGACGAGGAAAAGTTAAGATATATAACTAACTAATTTTAAAAGGTTTTTATTTTTAATAATTTTATTTTCTCGTATATATTTACCTTCTTTTTAATGTGGATAATTTTTTTTTTTCGTTTTTTTTTTTTTTTTTTCTTTTTTCCTTTTATTTTATAAAAAAAAAAAAAAAAGAGAAAAACTTTTTTTGTTTATAAGGAATATATAAAAGTAGTGAAAGGAGTTTTCAAAATTAAAAACAAAATTTTTTTTTTTCGGTTTGATGGGAAAAAAAGAAAAAAAAAAAGAGAAAAAGGAAGTGGAGAAAAAGAGGTTTGAATATATGTAAAATAATGTAAAAATACAATTTGAGGCAATTGTGCAAGTTTAGTGGATAAACACGCGATTTTTATTGATTTCTGTGAGATCAAATAATTGATTTTAGATAGTATTTAGATTGAGTTTTGGCTGTTGTCATGCAAAGCAAATCCTAATTTAAAGAGAAAAAAAAAAAAAAAAAAAAAAAAAAGAGAGGCATTTTTGCTAATATAAAATATGAAGTTCTAGACTCAGAAGTACGTGCGGGTACACACAAATATGTATAAATGTAACCATGATTATGTGATGATTCGAATATTTCTAGTAATAATTTATTAATATGGTCAAAGGGTAATAATTGTCATATCAAGATCAAGATCTGGTGATGCCCGATTATTTAAAACTGAGCAATGGATCTTCAGAGGAACAGGAGTGGAAAGTATTTGTTATTGCTTGAATCATTTAATACCACGTAGTTAAACTTTCTTCCCTCATCTTTTATAGTAATGTTCATACATACTGTCTGATCTACATGCTAATATTTCACCACATTTTTTATATTCTATCATCATTTTCTTCATTTTATTCTAAAAATAGTTTAGTTCTTTTTGTTTATGATTTATTAAATTGAAACACACCTGTCAAAAATGGTAATCTAATCTTCTGTTGAGCGAAAATAACTCGTGATCTACCAAACTGCTACTTCACTTGGCATTTAATGATCATCCATCATGCATAATTTTAACCTTTGAACCCAAACGATTTATAAAAAGTTACTTATTGTAAAAATTTATGGCGGAATCTTAATTCCTTATTGTCATTATATCATTGTGCTTTTTTAAAAAAATATGTAAGGTTACGATTAGTTTCGATTTCGCTTGCCCACTTTTTGAAAGGTAAAAATAACAAAAATTCTCTCTTATCATCCATTTTTGGTAATGGAGTGCGATAAACAGAACGTTTAAAAAAGCTTTTTCTTTCAATTTCTTTTTTGCCTTTTTGACTATCGATTATAATGATTGAAAAGGTTTATGTCTTCAATGACATAATGACCGAGAACAAGGGAATACATTCCTTAACACAAATGTTTACAATGCTCATAATCGTCAGGTTCATTGTTCTCCTTGTTTTATCATCAACCTTAAAAATGGTTTGCAAATTTATTTTTTTATCTTTCGAAATTATAATTATCTCTCGGAGTGCCCAAAGAAAATTTGTTACAGACCATTACCATATTAGTTAATCTAAAACAATCATGTGAGGAAGCACGTAATATTATCGGATGTAACACCTTTAATCTTCCAGATATTTTAAGAGATTATTAATCGGTAACACAATCTTGTACCCAATCTACTGTTCTATCAATTAAGTTTATCGGTATCGGCTGTTGAACAAACACCTTTTATTAATGGTTTTTCAAAAATATCATCATCTTTCGCTTTTTAGGTTACTCCATAGTTCAAAAGGTTACGTCTTGAATGCATTAGACCAAAAAGGTGAGCAAACTGAGCTTTGGTGTAACCTTGTGATTCGTATTGATCTCTAACAAGAATTATTGAAGTTAATTAACAATATTAAAAGGTTATTGTATTATCATCTCACCAAATTACAGTCGGTAATGAGAACATTTAGTGTCAATAAATAACGTAATTATGCTTATCAAAAGAATGTATGATGAAATTTCATTCGTGGACCTCAAAATTGCGTTTACCCAAATTAGTAAATTTTTTCTTTTATCTGCTAAATTTTCATGAATTGTAATGTATTGGATACGATAAGACCACTTCTGATAAGGGCACGATTTACCTTAATTGGCATCTCCTTTCGGTTAGTGTGCAAATTTATTTTTTTTTATTATTTTTCGATTTTTTGAAAATCGTTGGTTAAGTGACGTCGTCGTTAAAAACGAACCGGGAACGTCGGGTCTTATCGAACGCGTGATGATTCCCATTAAAAAAAAAGGAAGGGTAAGATATGACAAAACGTTTAAAATTAAAAATTACATTTTAAAAGTACAACATTTTTTTTTGAAATTCAATGTTTGTTGTAACTTTCGTAACGTCCCAAGAAAAAGCCTTACCCCCCCCCCCGCCCCCTTGTAACGATAAATAAACGCTGATTTTAATTAATGTTCAACATGTAAAGATGAGTAGTATCAATTGGCGTTTCTCATTCCGTAAATGGAAATTCTACCAGCTTCTATGTTTGCATTAGATTGTGTCCAAGTTCTCTTATCGAATCTTTTAACGCACTAAATAAAGGTTATCTTTTATCGTACATCTAAATAAATTTCGATGGGTGAACCAGAAATCAAGGAAAATCAAACAAATTCGGTCGGTCGGTCTAATGCTATCTTCTAAAAAAGAAATTGATGGGATTTTCCAAATTTCTCTCGATTTTCTCACGCGTTATGCGCAAAAAAAATGCGGAATTTTCGATGGAAACCACTCCTTGCAAATAAATATTCGGTGACACCGTACCGTATGATCCGATAATGTGCCTGATCAATTAATTAAAATTTTTTCACGTAAAACCTTCGGAGTGGATTGTTAACAAATTAATGTTAGGCGCTCATCGTATGCACATAAATTTAAATGATTTGGGGTGCATTTCAAAAGGATCTAGACGAGATGCACAAGGAAGGGTGGAAACTTATCTTTGTTTGTTTTTGTTTTATTATTTTATTTTACACAAGATGTATTGCAAATTTAAATGTTTAGTATTATCGTGTGTACATAACGTCGTTTTCATTCAGGCAGAAGGGATCTTAACAAGAAACAAAATAAATTAACGTTGATTGTCTCACCAATCAAAATCAACAATTTATTTTTAATCGTCCTCATCCGTTTTAAATCGTACACGCAAATTAAATAACAAAGGGAAATAATATATATATATATATAAAAAGTAAAACAGATACAACATCACGCACATCATAGGTTCATAAACCCGGAAAATTTTTAATGAATTCATAGATTAATTAATTAAGCGTTATAGCGTAAACAAATAGTCGTATCAAATAAAAACAGACATGACCGATTTGATTCGTGTTGAGAGATTTGACATGATGATTACCGTGCTTCGAGGACTTGTACCTTTTTTTTTTTTTTTTAACGGGAACAACGGTAAATTGACTGATTATAATTCCTACCAAAAAGATTGTGATCGTGATACCAATAAAATTAAATAATTCATCGTTAAAAATTGTTGGTAATTTTTTTTTTTTTTGTTTACTTCGAATTGCTTGGCGCAGCATTATTTACGGTGGGACCGCATTCGAGATGGTGCCACCAAGGAATTAATAATTCTTTTGACAAATCAGGGAGCATATATCATTTGATAATTTGTAATGCGTGATAAATTCGTAGTGATTTGATCAAGTATTTCATTCATGCTTGCCTGATTTGAAATCTCGAAACGATTGGACATCAACGACATTAAGGTTTTGATTATCATACGTCAAAACCTTGAGCTGTTGATGCATATGGTAAGAAAAAAGAAAAAAAATTAAAAATTTTTTTTTTTTTTCCTCAAAGGTAACAAAGGGCGAAGTGACGAATTTTTCAATTGCATCCATAAATCTCTATTTGGATTTTAAGTTTTCGTTGTTTTTTTAATTTTTCTTTATTGATCATATTTGTTGTGAGTGTATAAATTTCCTTTAATGAATGTTGTGTAAGATTCCATTTATTTTGCTTTTTAATTGACAATTAGATAAGGGTGTAGTAAGAAAGAATAAAATTGTTTCGATTGTGTGAATCATGCTTAGCAATGTCAAAAAAAAAAAAAAAAAAATTAGCCCTCGTGAAAGGAATTAGGAAGATCTTATTTTTGGGGTTGATCACGTGATAACAATACGATTGAATGGGCGTTTTGTTCAATTACGATATATGATGTGATGATTTATGCATGGGATATAAGAAGCCGTTCGGCAGAATTCTCGAAAATTCAGAAATCACGATCGCGTGCGCTTTTGAAAAAAAAAAAAAAAAAAAAAAATATGCAAAACATCTTAACTTTAAATGGCATACATGCACATTCTTATTATAAAAATCTGTTTATGAATACAAATGACAATTACCTGTCACTTGATTTTCTTGTTTTGGTTCGATATGTCATAATATGATCCTTTAATCGCATTGTTTTCGTTTCATATGACTCCTTTCATTTTTTTTTTTTTTTTTTTTTCCTCTCTCCCAAAAAGATCGCGTGGTTCGATAATGTAAGGGTTCCCATTAACCAACTTATTCAAGATAAGAACCATCCGATTTCGCCGTAAATTTTTTTTTTTTGACAATTCCAATTACATCAATTGACAGCTATTCTATCATGATTTAAGATTAAACAAATAAAGTGAATGAAATCTTAAAAAAAAAAAAAAAAAATTACCTGTTCTTGACATGTGTAATTGTTCTTTTAATCGTCGATCATTCACCCTTCGCATGGTTTCAATGAATAATTTCTTTTTTTTTTATATTATCTTTTTTCCCTCACACATTAAAAACATATGAAATCTGATATTTGCACCCGATTTTTATCACGATTGTATCGAGGATGATAATGGTGATATCGATAAGAAGAACAAAGACCCATAATATTGGTCTAACGATAAAAAGTATTTAATAACAAATATAATTTAGGCTAATAAGCACGCGTTTTAGAACCGTCGATCTCGATTGTTAAAATGGTTTTTTTTGTTGTTTCAGAAAAGTATCTAATCGCGTGGCTTTTGTGGGAAATTCGTTACGTAAAACGATTTCATTTAGTTAATGTTTGGGAATGCGTAGTTTCTTTCATACAAACAATAGATTCATTTTGAATACATTGTCGATTTATTTTTAATATAAATCAATTTGGTAAGGTCAATAATAAAGTCATGTGTGATTTCATTCTTGTATGTGATTATTGTGAATCATCATTAGATGTGATTAATAAGTGCTTACTTTAAATTTAAGTTTAAACTTTATTATTTATTATTAACTTAGATTTCGACCAAATCACGTGTAACAATCAACGTTTACCAGGGTTGTAATTTCTACTAGCATTATCAAAAATTTTATTTTATACAAATTGGCAACCAATTCCTTTTTACGATATGCAAAAGATTCTCTCAGCCTAATTAATTGTTTGCGAAATCAGCTCCTTTGGTAATGTTTTTCTTAAGTTCAGGTAAAGCTGCGGATAAAAGTTCTTTTTCATAAGCACTAAGTTTTCCCAATGAATGAACTTTACCAACACCTTCGGAACTTAATTCGACATTGGACGCGAAATATTCAATACCATCTGATTTGAATAAATCGGATTTCACATAAGATGGCTCAATAACACCCTTTTCTCCCTTAACTATGGCACGAAGCAAGGAGCCGGTGAAACGATTTGCGGCGTAGGCCATAGAAAGCGTTGCTGATCCGGTACCTTTTTATCAGATAAACGAATAAGTAAAAAAAAAAAAAAAAGATATATAATAGCATTTCCTTTTCCTTCTCTTTTTCTTCAGATATTTACCAGCCTTGGCTTTGACCACTTCATCACCACCAAATTGTATTCTATGCGTCAACGCCTTCAATTCTTCATCGGTGAAAGTGTGACCAGACTGTGAGAGGAGAGGGATGATGGTCACGCCGGAATGTCCACCAACAACCGTAATCTTCTCATCTTTAGGATTGGTACCCTTGAGCTCTGAAACAAAGCGAGAAGCGCGTACGATATCAAGAGTCGTCACCCCGAATATTCTATCAATCAATTATTTTTTAATTTTTTCCTTTCAAAGTTCTGAGAGATTTTTTCTTGAAACGTTCGGTTGCTAAGAAGAAAGAATAAACGATCTTCTAATTGATTCTCACCTTCGTGGGTCATAAATACCGAATTTCTTGAACACTTCTGATACAATTGCCACCGTTGAGTTAACGGGGTTGGAGATGACGGCTAAAAATGCGTTTGGCGCATATCTTTAAATCGTGTAAAGAGAAGATGTTTAGAAATGTCGCATTCATTTAAGTTCAATCTCCTTTGATCTGTTAATATACTCACTGTGCGGCGGCAGTGGCCAAATCCCTTACGATCCCAGCATTAGTCTGATTATATTAAATGATTTCAATTGATAATAAATACATATATATATATATATATATATATTTTTTAAAAAAAAAAAAAGAATCAAAAAGAATCGATTTAACTTTACGATCAAAAAGTAAACAGCAACCAACGTACATTGAACAAATCATCACGGGACATACCCGGTTTTCGAGGAACGCCAGCCGGAATGACGATGACATCGGCATCAGTTAGAGCCAACTTGAGCCCATCATTTTCAGGAACGTAACCCGTGACCTTTGATAAAGATGATGATGATGAATGATTTGGGAAACCATCAAGGGAATCGGTTCTTTTTTTTTTTTTTTTTATAAACACAGACTAAAATATAAAAATGGAAACCTTGCTTGCGGTGTTAATGTGACTTATGTCAGCGGCCACTCCAGGCGTATTCACAATGTCAAAGAGTGATAAGTGTGATATCAACTCGTTGTGCTTAAGTAGCAGCGAGAGTGGCTGTCCAATACCACCGGCGGCACCGAGAACTGCCACCTTCGCAGCGTTAGCCGCCGAAGAAGAAAAGGCTCGTTTAGACACAACGACATTAACGAGCTTGGAGGTGAACATATTTGACCGTATTAAGAGTTTCGTGTCGTGTTAAGGTGAAGGGTATAAAGGAGGTGAAGGAATAGAGAATTGAGTTGAGATCTGGGACAAAGAAGTTTAATCTAATAATAGATTGGTTCTTATGATTGGATTGTAATTAACCACAAAGTATGATGAATTTATAATTACGTAATTTTTCTGAAAAATTTTTCAAGACCGCCCAATGAAAGTTCAGACATGCATCACACAGCGTTGATTATCAAGGAGTTGTTCACATCGCTTCTAAAAAAAGCATTCATTCTTAGTAAAATCAATGCGACTCTTGTAAAAAAGATCAAGATCAAAAAAAAAAATTTTTTTTTCTGGAAGGGGAAAAAAAAAAAATACGTCAATTCAGGTGACGGCATAATATTCAATAAAGAAAAGGTCGCGCCGAGATTCGAACTCGGATCACAAGATTCAGAGTCTTGGGTGCTAACCATTACACCACGCAACCGTAACAACGATATATGGAAATTATTTATCTTAAGGATCAATTCAGCTTGAGAAAAATGGCGTATCAAAACGATCGGAAGATGCGCAGCCACTGCGCCTGCATCAGGAAAGTTTCGTGCAACATAAACAAAAATATTGGGTATTGGGTAAATATTTGCATAAAAAAATCTAAAAAGGACCTTCTTTCTTCTTTTTGTTAAAAAAAAAAAAAAAAAAAAAAAATAACACAATGACCTTCCTAATTAGTTGATTCATTTACTTTTGAAAGATAATGAAAACAATAAATATTATTATAATATTCTTTTCGGCTGGGATTCTTACGAAAATATTATGCAAGAAAATAAAAAAAAAAAAAACTTTTAACAAAGTTTTCCAATGAATCATTTCGTATATAAATATATATATGTATTGTAACAAAGGATAAGAGCCGCAGATAGGTAGATCTGTAAATGATGATGGCACACGATGCAACCGATCAAATATTCACGTGATAACGAGTTCAAGACTTTTCGGGTTACTTTCCCAAAAGTGGATCTGCGATTTTCGCCAATCGAATCAACATAATCAACATAAATAAGATCATAATGTAAACGAAACCAAAATGGAAATTGCTTTATGTTTAAAAAAGATTATAACAAAAAAAAATAAAAAAAGAGAATAAAAATAAATAAATACATAAATAAATACAAAGGAACCGGAAAACAATGATCCACTTATCATAATCTTAGATACTATTTAGATAATCTCTTTTTTCTTTTTTTTTTTTTTTTTGATAAAAATGAACACAATAGAATCTGCAGAGAAAAAAAAAAAAAATATAATATATCAAGGAAATTTGTTGATCATTTTTTGCGTAGTCAGGCAAGATTTACTGTCAAAGCATTCTCGCATGAATTTCGTTATCTGTGCTCTCAAATGGGTTTACATAATAACTTCATTCGATTGTAATTTTCATATTGTCTTGCGATTTCGCCCATCCAAGTACTGACATATTTTCCCCCACAGGATACCTTCTTAATGGGTTCCTTTAAAGTGTCATTTGTGTTCAATCTCATGTTAAGCAATAAAGTTATTAAAATAATATTTTATATTTCATCTTTTCGTAATCTTAATGAAGATTTTCGGAAATGTACGTGAGATATGGTTTTGAGGAAATTGTTCCGGTCACCAAGGAAGCTCACGGTAAGGATCACATACTCCTAATAGTCACATCCTTTCAAGCGTCACCCGTTCATCACTTTTATTTCCAAATCAGTATGATTGAGATCAACAAAATCAACGATGGATACGATCGAATTCTTGTGGGATGTTAGGATCGAGTTTTCGTTGTTTGTCTGCTGCAAAGTCACACACATGGTGTCAATTAGGGGTGATGCTGTGAGATCAAAATACTGATTTAGTGTTGATTAAAGTTTCTATTTTAGATTGAGTTTGTCTAGTTAGGCTTTTCATTGATGCATTGAAAATCCTTGTGTAAAGACAAATTTATTTCGAGTTCCGTACTTCCAAAATTTTTGTGTCATGAAAACATGAAAACGAGTTTAAAAAAAAATAAATAAATAAATAAAATAAAAAAAAAGGTTCACTTACAACTCAACTCTCCCATAGAAGCTGGATGAACAAGAAAGCATCGCACATGTACCATGCAGAAATTATTTAATTGATTTGAATGATTAAGCATGAGAGATGCATTTTTTAAAAATCCAAAGTGAATGCATGCATTTATTTATATGGTACAAAAATTTGCAAATAGTTTCGCAAGGTTATTATTGTAAATATTTATATTGTGTTATAGTAATGTCAGTCCAACATCCAAATTCGATAGAACTCACGCGCCTTCTTTCATCTTACCATTTATGATTCCATGGGCGTAAAAAAAATTAAATTAGAAAATCTTGGCTTCCATTTTTGAATTACACGTTTATGTGAATGAAAAAAAAAATTAGATTTCCTCATCACAATACCTTTTTTTTTTTTTTTTTTTTCATTTGCACACACATAAATTGTAAACATAATAATATCATGAAAAACATTCATTATTTCATATTTATTATTATTTTTTTTTAAGGTTCAATTCTTTGTTTTGTTTTGGTTTGGTTTGGTTTCCTTTTTCTTTTTTCATTATCATCATCATCCACCATCATCATTCTTAAGAGAGAGTACATTTTTTTTAATAAAGTAATCCACTCACACACGATTTTTCATGTGCTGATAGGATACTTACTTATGATAGGTTACCCATAAGAATAATTGTGGTAAGGGATGCAAGGAAAAAAACACAAGTTGCAATCCAGGTTTTGTATAAAATTAAAAAAAAAAAAATCTCGATCAAAGTAACAGTTCAACCAAAGATTGTACGCCCATTTCCTTATGGAAGAAAAAAAGTTTATCACAAATCTACTATACTTGATTTCATCCGGCAAAACCTTTTTTATTCTGTGATAAATATTATCATGCACTAATTGAGTAATTGTTTATTTTATAAATAAATTATCTGTTGTGTTTATTATGGATTCGCAACACAGTCTTACCTCCTTTACAATTAATTATACCTTTCCAGCGTTTTTTTTTTTTTTATTTGCTCCCTTACTTATAATCAAAAAAAAGGATCAAAAAAGCAGGTTAATTTAGATTTAAATTTCTATTTACAATTTATTTATAACAATTTATTTATCAGATTGTTTAATCAATAATTCACACGGAATAACGCATATATATGTCGTTTTGTGATAATTTATTGTGTGTTTTAACTTGTAAAGTAAAGGTCAATCATTAAGTAAATCATTTAAATTATAAATACGTTCCCAAAGTTTAATAAAATCTCGCGATTTTTTTGTCAAATACCCTTTTTTTTTTCCCTTTTTCTAAAAAAAAAAAAAAAAAAAAAAAAAGGTAAACACATTGTAAATCGCGTTAACACAGATTACCCCCTTCTGTACAAAAAAAAAAAAAAAATTTTTTTTTTTTTAAATAAAATCAACCAATATTCGAATTTTGGTTTGATTTTTTTTTTAAAAAAAAAAAATTTAATCTCAGAAAATAGAGATACATACACATACACACATTTATATTTATATCGCGTGATTTTTTCATTTCATTTTTTTTTTTTTTTTCAGTCAACGAAGAAATTGAAAACGACGAGTGGAAAAAGAAATTTATTTTATTTTAAGTTTCTTTTTTCGGCTGCTTTAAAAGACAAACTTTTGGATTTTATTTCTTTCGTGTAAGTGTTAAAGCCTGTATAACATGTATAACATCACACATACATCGAGTCGACCAATCAACTTTCGAGCACTAAATAGTTAGATTACTTCAATGTACAAGGGTCTTTCTATTTAGTTCTTTGTTTTGTTATGTTGTTTATTTGCTGTCAGTTGGCGGAATCTTTTGACCAAAACATTTCGGGTCCTACCCCAGCCAAAAAAAAAAAAAAAAAAAAAAAAAAAAGAATAAAGAAAAAAAAAATGATAAATATATATATCACAAAATAAAACAATATGACCAAGTAAGAAGGGCAACTCAGGCTTATGCTCTCAAAACAGATTGAGGATCCTACTTGACGAACTTGGGAATGAATGAGTTTGATAAGATAAGGATACCATCAGCACATTGTGATACCATGTGATACTTTGCATTTTCTGCAGGACAAAAAAATATGAATACTGGGCGCAAGACCTGATTCAGAACAAACAAAAATTCCTTTAAAAATGAAGCGTAGATCCATGTTTTTTAAACTTGTTACGACGATACTCTCTCGGATTAGACTCGCACCTTTTAGATTCTTTAGTTAGAACCTTTCATTATAAAATTAACGAATTTCATTATAATTTTTTTGGTCTCTTCACGACGCCATTTTTTATCTAGACCCTTTTATTTGAAACCGAGCTTCCCAGTAACATGGAAGGCATTTGCTCGCTTCCGTCGATCGATCACATGACCGGCTCAAAATCCATCGTGACGTCACCTATAAACAGACAACATGTGCAGCATATGCCTTCACCGTAAGCTAAAATTCTTTTTTTACGTCTCTTTGATTCCGATATACGTAAAATTCACTTAAAAAAAAAAATTTCAAAAATCAGAGGTCACGAAACGATGTCGGAATCGAAAGGAGTACTTCCGCCATTGTCGGTATTGTTGCGTCCAACACCACAGCATGGTTTATCGGAAGTTCATAGAGAGATTTCGGATTCCGTAAATCGCTCACCAATGACGTCACATCACAAAACACCGGACAACCTCGAGAGGTACAATTGCGTGGGTCACGAAGAACCCAAGCTGCAGCAACAGCAGCAGCAACAACTGCAACAACAACAACAACAACAACAACATAATATTTCCAGAACAAGCTCCCCTTTGTGCCCTCCTGATCATGGCTCTCACGTATCGGGACAATTGAACTATTCTGATCATCGTCTGCCACAAGATGGCGTGACTCATTCATCTCAGCGCGCAATCGCTCCCGATATGCGTTTGCCTTCCATAAAACATTTTGAGAATATTTCGTCAGACGTTCAACAATCATC